AGAAATTGGCATTAAGTTATCTTATCACGCCTGGAAGTACGGTTCCATCTGAACGGTTGGCTTCTGCCATTAAATGTATTGTCTGTGACTCCCGTAGTCGAATGACAGACCAGCATATAACCGAAAGAGTTTTTTTAAATCATTGAAGAAAGATTTGTTTTGTAATTAAGAGTAATTAGGAGCATTAAATAAGATAATTAGGTAATTAGCATTATTTAGTACATATTCCATAAATTAATTAAGTTTTAAAAAACTTTTTTTTTTATATTAAGTTTTTTTATAATTAAATTTGAATACAATGTCCTTAATAATTTTGTTATTTTTTATTTCAAATAACGTAAATAAAAGTTGCTTGAGAGTGGGTATAAATATTTGTTGTTTTTTAAATTCACTTTTTAAATAAAAAATAGCTCTTATTTGCAGTTCATGGCGGATGAAAACACATATTAAAACCTTTTTTTAAATTTACAAATAACCTTTTTTCAATTTTAGCTGACCATAAAAAATATCAAAAATACTCGATATTTCGATTTTTTTATGTGATATTTCTTAATATTATCGATTGATATTTTTTTCACTGCAAATATCATCAATAAGATATTTTTTTAAAAACCAACAACCCTAGTAAAAACCCGAAATAGGCCCGTAAAAGCTCGAAATAGACCTAAAAACAATTTTGATTTGATCGCGCGATTTTTTTTTTATTCTTGAATTACAACCAGTCAGGTTTCTTTCGGCAATCGTTCATTTGGTTGTACTTTTCTTAAACCCTTCTGTTAGAGAGATGAATTTCCTCTCAGAGGAAAAAAAGGAAAATGTGATAGCTACGGTAAAAGCAATGCTCTCCGAATTGATAGAAGATCATGAAAAAAGTAGTTTTGATGACGTAACTAATAACATAGGCTCAAATAATTCCGAAAATGGAAAGTTTTTAGAATTTGTATGTAAAAAAAAAGTTATGTAAAAAAAAAGAAAAGAAGGGCCTCAAAATACAGGACCGCGCCCACCTCTAGTTCCCATTATGAGCAAGTTGCGTTATGGCTTAAGGGGTCACGCCACCCTGAAATTTTCAAAAAATCGATTTTTTTTTACTTAATTTAAAAGACTATATTCTTACGCGTATTTTAAGACGTCCCCGAAGACAATATCTTGATAATTATGGAAGTTATGTTTATTTGAAGTCGGCACGGCAGGAGGGCACCTAAGACACTTCTTTTTCTTCTTTTGCGTTTTTCTCGAAACCACTTTTTCAAGACGGTGGGCATGATAACTCAAAAACTGTTCAACCGATTGACTTAAAATTTGAAACACATCTTCTTACATGGATTTTCCACAGAGTGACGTAGAATTTTTTCGATCCAATGGATAGAAATTTTTTATGCAATTTTTAGTACGACATTTTTTGCCCAAAACATTGAGTCAAGTTTTGAAGTGCTCTCATTTGCGTAATTTTTTTTTTTTTCTAAAACGGCTACGTCACTCTGTTCCAAATTTATCACTTTTTAAAAAAAAATTTTGTTTACTTTTTTCTGATGAAAATTGACACGTGAATCATGCCCACCATCAAGGAGCACTCCGGAAAAACCCATGATCGCCGATGTTCATATCTCCGCCATTTTGAATTGAAAACAAATTTTTTTTTAGAATTTATAAAGCTCATTAGTTGTATTAAATAGAAATAAAAGTGGAAAAATCCTATCTCAACTAGTTTAGTCACAAGAAATTCTTGAAAAACCGTCCCGTTTCCACGCGGTCAGGGTGGCGTAACCCCTTAAGCCCACTTCACTGCTGGATTCGTGTATTTGAATTTATTTTGCATGCTGGCTACAAATGTCAAATAAAGAAGTGGAGAATTGTGGAGGAAAACGATAAAAAAGAGGTTTCTCAAAGGACAAAAAAAAATTCAGGGTCTTTTTTGGAATCGTTTTTCCCTACACGTTGATAAACTAAAAGTTGGAGGATTTGGCAGTACCAACGATGGAAATACTGCACGACGTTCATTTTCCGATCATCAAGCATTTTCAGAAATAAGAGGAATCGATGTGCAGATTATATCAAATTTAAAAACGATATTAATTTCTCTTTCATGTCAGCTTCCCCTAGATGTCGAAAAATTTAGAAACTTTTGCTTTGCTACTGCAGAACAGATCATTGATAAATACCAATGGCTACCTATGACCGCAACGGTGCATAGAATTTTAGTTCATGGAAGCGAGATAATTGAGAATACATACTGTGCTTCCTATAGGTTATTTTGGAGAGGAAGGAGCCGAGTCGAGAAACAAATTTTATAAATCCGACCGTCTACATCACGCCAGAAAGAGCAGTAGGATACGAAACATCACGGACGTATTCCAAAGAGCAATGGATACTTCTGATCCAGTAGTTTCAACCGTCAATTTGAAGTCAAGAATACGGCAACAGAAGAGAATGTGTCTTCCTTCAGAAGTAATCAATTTGTTGCAATGCTCAACAAATTTGGATGATACAATGGAGGATGAAAGCGTTTTTGATACTGATATTTTGAATTTTCCGTGTGATATAGATTTGAAAAACGAGGATCAATAACTTTTGTAGGTCTGTATTTAAACAGATTACTTAAAACATATTATAAATTCTTATTTTTTACAGAGCTATCAATCTCAATTTTTTAATTTGTTCAACAATGTTCCATCAACATTTGGCATGCCACGTTCCATCCCACGTTAAATATAAACTCAAAATACTCATTATAAATATCTTTAGAATATTAAAATTGCATATAAAAAAAAAAAATCTAAAAATCTAAAAAAAAAGTTTGAACTCTAACTCTAAAAACACCAAAGTTATACCATTTCCGATCAATCAGTTATATGGCAGCTATAGGATATAGTCGGCCGATCCCGGCCGTTCCGACTTATATACTGCGTGCAAAAGAAAGCAGGGTGTGTGGAAAGTTTCAAGACGATAGCTTTAAAACTGAGAGACTAGTTCGCGTAGAAACAGACAGACAGACGGACAGACAAACGGACAGACGGACATGCTCATATCAACTCAGGAGGTGATCCTGATCAAGAATATATATACTTTATAGGGTCGGAGATGTCTCCTTCACTGCGTTGCACACTTTTGACCAAAATCATAATACCCTCTGCAAAGGTATAAAAAGGGAGGTGCATCTGAGTTGTTGTGACCAGGTGAACCCAAATCAAAAATCAGAATCTAAATATCTCTTTTACTTTTTGAGTTAGAATGTTTTTCATAAAGAGTGGGCGGTACCACGGCTACAATTTTTCCAAATCTGAGTTAGAATTTGAGTTACGCAACTGCTGATTCAGATGATTCCACCAAGGCATGCAGATGAGCAATGCACAAATATTGCAAAATGAACCATTGAATAAATCAAAATATTGTTTTAAGTAGTAATTTATATAATGTATGGAATATATATTTATGTTTTTAAGAAAGATTATAAACAAAGTTAAAGTGGATCCAAGTTGAATGTCTTGACCAGATGGGTTAGAGAGTCTATTTTCCTAGACAGTTTTTTGATGGTACGGTTACTGCGCTAGACAGCGCCGAGTAGGTCCTCTTCCATTGATGAATCTTCAGAGGTAGATGCTCCAAAGGACATGGCCGAATTATTAAAACCTTCAATCTGGTATACAAAAGCGTCATCAGAGGAGTAGCTGGAATCAAGTTGGGCCGACGCAGGCGTCCGGCGAGAAGGTTTTAACAGCTTAAGCGCTCGGCAAGATGTCCTAGGTGGAGACTCAGGTAGACAAGAGGATGGACTGGAGACATGACGCTGTGGTAAGGAGCAGCTGGAGTCAGGCTTGGCTGTCGAGGGCGTTCGGCGAGGTGGTTTGGATAATTCAAGTGCACGGCGAGATTTAGTTGGTGGAGACTGTGATTGACGGGAAGGTGAACTGGAATCACGGCGCTGGGGCGAGGAGTAGCCATTCAAGCATACGACTTGATGTTGTAGGTGGAGACAGGGCTCGGCGAGGAGATGAGCTGGTTTCGCAGCACTGAGGTGTGGAGTAGCTGAAGCCTGCTTGGGCAAATATTTGTACCCAGCGAGATGACTTTGACGATTTAAGCTCTCTGCTTGATGTTGTTGGTGGTTATATGGATTGACTAGTCGATAAGCCGGAGTCGCGGCACTGGGGCGAGGAGCCAGTGTGTGCTAAGGCCATACAGCGAGGTGACGTTGATGACTCAATCGCACGACGAGACGTTGTTGGTGGCGACAGAGATCGACGAGAGTGTAGGTTGGAGTCGCAACGACGAGGCGAGGAGTTAGTGGGTCCTTGGAAGTCATTCAGAAAGGGCAGCAGACGATTAGCCAAATAGCAATCCCGGGCTACTTTAAATGCCTTACAGCCCCTAAAACTGGCAACATGTGGACCGCCACAGTTAACACATTTGGGGATTTCTGATCTTGGGCGATCGCAGTTTGTTGAGCGGTGGGTTCCGGCACATTTCAAGCACGCGTAGTCGTGGAGGCAGTAGTTTTTGGTATGCCCAAATCTTTGGCATCGATGGCACATATTAGGTTCATCACGCTGCCACTGGCGTTCGATAGAGATGCGCCTATTTCCAAGTTTGTTGATACCGAAAAAGGTGTTATTCCGTTCCATGTCGAAAGGCATCGGCGCAATAACGAAAATATCCATTGGTGTGCGGTTTTGATAGGATTTCAGGTTCTTGATGAAGCAGATAGTAAAATTTAATTTTTCAAACTCTCTTAGATGTGAGAGATGGAGGTGTCGTGGCGAAGCCCACGGATTATGAATCGACGATTATTGTTTGTGTGGTGAAAGAATGAATAGAATGGAAAGAATGAAAAGAATGGCCTGTAGGCCGGCATTGTACTTTGCTTACTTTGATTCTGTCACGGTTTAGGCGAATGATTGCGTGCTGCCGATTCACAGGGGGACGAGGACTTAGGCTTTGGCCACGCATCGAGCGATGAGCGACTGAGCGACGCTCTCTCGAGCGACGTAAAATATTAAAGCTTATGAGACAGCATTAGAGTGGCCACGCAGGCGCTGAGCGACGAGCAAAGTTCTTGAGCGACAGGGCGACGTCGCTCAGCGCTAGAATTGGTTTTAATTTTTAGTGCATCGCTGAGCGACGAAGTGCAAGAAATGTCGAAAATATGCGCGGAAGTTTTAATTTCGGCTGTTCAAAGCCGAACCGTTTTGTGGAACGACTCTCATAAAGAGTACAAAAAAAAAAAATGCTACCGATAAGCAATGGAACGAAGTAAGAGTTATTTGTAACTGCACAGGTAAGCTTTTATTTAACTTTCTGTATAATAAACAAAAACACTGTAAGTAAAGTTATAATTAATATGTGTATATGAATGAATATATTTATTTAAGGTGAAAGTCATTTCATCAAATAACTTAATTTCGAAAATCCCAAAAAAAATCAGTTAAAGAATTTCTAACATTCATGGCTGACTGACTGCTTCTATTGCAATGTGACGGTTCTTCAAAAATATCCACATTTCTTGAAGAAACTATTCCGTTATTAAATTCTGCTGTCGTATTTATGTATGTAGTTCAGATCACTGTCCCCATCACGTTCTCTTACATAATTACATATGTAGAATGCAAGCACATTTTATAATGTGAATTGCTGTGCTAGGTTTTGTCTCAATATCTTTTTGTAAAATTCGCCATTTCTTTGTTAAAATACCAAAAGCACATTCAATGCACTTCACGGCGATCGATAATCTTTCATTGTACTTTTCAGTTTTTGCATTTAACTTCATTCGAGGATATGGTCTCATCAAATAATTTTTCAGTGGGTAGGCTTCATCTCCAATAAAAAAGTTTGGCAAAATGATATTTGAGCCTGGTAGTGCTTGTGGTAGTGGAACATTGAATTTCCCTGCTTCCAGCAATCTAAACAAAGTGGATCCACAAAATGTCCCACCATCGCTTTGCTTTCCTCTGCCACCCACTTCAATTGTTATAAATTTTTATCAGCATCAGCCACTCCTTGCAAAACAATTGAAAAATAATGCAAATAATTGAAATAATGTGATCCAGCATGAGCTTTAATTTGGCAATGTTTTCCGTCAATGCTACCCAGACAGTTTGGAAACTTCCAACGCCTATAATAATATTCCGTAACTTTTTGAAGTATATCAGTTGTTGGTGTTGGCATATATTCATTAACGAGTGATTTCCAAATTATAATGCTTGTTTCGCTTATAATTTTTCTAACAGTGTTTCTTCCCAATCGAAAAGCAAATTCCAAGTCACGAAATGAATGACCTGTAGCAAGGTACCTAAAAATAAAAATATGTGCTTAACAAAATAAAACTAATGTAAAATAAAATAAAATTATTAATAAAAACTAGTTGGTATGAACAAAATACATATATAAAATCAAATTTTTAGGAGCCGCAGCAAAGGCCAAATGGAAAAATTTAAAGGACACATACAGAAGGACGTTGCAAAAACTACCACGCCTACCATCGGGATCCGAAGCTCAACCTGTTCAAATCAAATGGCCATACTTGGAGCTGATGTCTTTTTTAAAAAAGACAGTTGCTCCAGATCCGACTGAGGGCAATTTGCAGAAGGACGACGAAAGCATGAATGAAATGCTTTCAGAATTGCTTCAGGACGATGAAAGTAATATGTCTGTGATGTCATCTACAAGTACAGTAGGAAAATCGACGCCCAGAAAAAGAAAAATGAATTTGGAAACAGAATTTTTGGAAATAGAAAAAGAGCGACTGGAAATGATGAAAAGTCAAATAGGAAAAGAACAAAAATTAGAGGAAGAAAACCAAAATGAAGATTTGTTATTTTTTAAATCACTTTTGCCTTTTTTTCAAAAATTTACGGACATAGAAAAGTTTGAAGTTAGAAATGATATTCAAAATATAATTATTGCTAAGCTTAAAAATAAGGAATAAATATTACAATTACCTACTACTTACATATATATTTTATATCATTATACCATTATTTTATATCATTATATCATTTATAATAATTATTATCATCATAAGTATAGCATTAGTATTATAATAAACTTATTTACAACTTACAAACTTACCTTAATAATAAAACCAATCGTTCTTCAGCTGAAATTGTTGATCTCGTTTTACTTATTTCATTTTCAATTTTACTTAACAGCAAGTCAAATGAATCGATTGACATGCGTAGGTATTGCCAAAATCGATCTGGATGGTTTCGAAGATTTTTGTATAAGTAATGAAACTCGCCATACTCATTTCGCAATCGATTTATGGGATGAACGCCATACCTACGCCTTTGTATAATTTTTAATTGCCTATATTTACTATAACGGCTTTCAAGCAGATTTCGTAGAACCTCTCTAGAATAAGGCATTTTTACAGTTAATCTCAAGTGATGTCGCCCAGTGCGTGGCCACCTCAATCAAAGCGATGCGTGGCCGAAGCCTTAGAAGGCTTCTAATGTCTTCCATGGATGTGACATTATACACAATAATTGGCGGAATAAAAGCCTCCTGGTCTATAGAAGTAGCCATTGCTAGATCGTGATGGTACTGTACTTTGAATTTTTGCGCTGAATTCAGTTGAGGTTTGCGAGCGAATGGAAGGCAAAGCCAAAATGAAAAAGTAGAGTTGTAGCTTAATGAAAGCAATAAACTACGCATTAGAGAGATGTAAACGAGTACAAGGAGCGAGTCTTTAGAGAGGGAGTGAGTATAGTTGACATGTGTATGCGACACGCATAGATCCTTGTATGTGGGAGTTTCATGGATTAAAACAGAGAAAGTAAGAGAGCCAGCAATAAGGTATAGATCATCAGCATAAGTATTCATAAGACATACTTAAATGAATTTGTAATCAATTTAGTGGCAGCAGATGTAGCATTGTTAGATCCGTTCAGTTTTATGAGGAATTAATTCCATAATTCTGTAATTGAGTCATAGGCATACAGAATGTTATAAATTTTATAAATGGTCAATGTTATAAAAACTTACAAAGATTCACATTATAAGATATCCAGAGTTTATTAAAAAATGGTTTATTGGGATAATTTCCAGTATGCAAGTCTTAGTGGAGAAATAGTGTTATTTTAAAAAAGAAGAAAGCATTGAGTGATGAATAATTGTGTGCATTGAGGGTTAATTGTCAGTGATAGCTGCAGGCAGCTTGGGGCCAGAGCTATCTGTGTGTAGGAGAGGGATGAAGGAATCCAGTTTCTTACCCAAATCTCCTACAGAGGACACACTCTGTTTCATTAATAATAGAAGGTCATCATTTGCTGGAAAAGGAGTGGTCCAAGAATTTTAATGAAGGCCTCTTGGAGTAGTTAGAGCTGCATGAGTTTGTTTTGGGTGGCAAGTACACTCAGATTTGAGTGATTGACTAACATTAGAGCTGGAATGCATAACATTATTGAGTGATTGACTAACTCCAGATTTGAGTGATTGACTAACATTAGAGCTGGAATGCATAACATCATTTAGGTTAGAAACAGGTTTTTTATGTATGAGTCGCTGTTCTTTACTAAGCTCTTGTTGGAATTTATTAATGTGATTTTCAGCAGGGTTACGTGTTTGCGGAATATGGATTGACTTATTACAAGGGTTATTGAATGTGACCCTTTTTCCCAAATTAGGTTTAGTATGGAAGGGGTTAGCATTATTGAGTTTAGGTTGGTAGTTAGGTGAAGTAGCTGCCCTATGACCACTAAGGGTCCACTGTGGATCCTTACTGTTTCCATGATTTACATCCAGTTGCTGTTGTGGAGGATTCTGTGGTAGTTGGTGGTGCTGTTGTTGATGATTGTCATAGTAGCTAGGTTGAGTATTGGTACTGTCTCTGGGGCGACTGATGGCTACGTCAGCTCGGTAGGCTAAGAGACGATATTTGGCTTCCTTAAACACAGAGCAACCTTTATAACTGGCAACATGGCCAAGACCACAGTTAGCACACTTCGGATTGGCAAAATTTATACTCGTACAGACAGTAGTTGGGTGGTTGCCTGCACATTTAAGGCAGACAAAGTCCCGACGGCAGAAATTCTTGGTATGCCCAAAGCGCTGGCAGCAGTGGCACATGGCTGGCTCCATTCTTCGTAACTGTCTCCCGATTGTAACTCTTTGAATACTATCCACTTCTACGCCAAAAATCTCCCGGGAGCTCTCCTTGCTTATTGGAAAACCAGGAACAATGTGCAGCAAGAGGAAAAAACCATTCCCACTATCTTTATCCCTGCGCAAGCGCCCCAAGCGTGGTACTTCTAACCATAACAGAAGCTCTTCCAAGAATACTTCTAAAGGTCAGATCTCTCGTGATAATCTTCTACTGGATACTAATACAAATATTACTAATATGCCATAATATGGATAAAATCCAGGCTATTTTCCTTTATAATGTTACTACTATCCAACCCCTCCTTGATACTCTCAACTCCATTCCAGGAGTTATGGAGAAAAACTTTATCACTACTGCTCTTAATGGAAACCGTATTAAAATTATGTGCAACAACTCCACCACATACCAGCTAATCATGAATCATCTAGAGACTAAAGAAAATAAAGAAATCCACACTCACCAATCCAAATCTGATCGCGGGTATAGAGTAATCATTCGTCAGCTTCACCACTCTACACCTTATGACCAAATCCGTAATCTCATCAACAATCTGGGATTCACTGTCCGTTACATTAACAACATTAAACACCGCCGCAGCCATAAACCACTTGACTTATTTGAAGTTGAACTTGCACCGTCCCTAGATATCTCAAATGAAAAAATTTTATCTATTACTATGTAAGGTAATCAAAGAGTTACAATTGAGAGACAGTTACGACGAAGGGAGCCAGCCATGTGCCACCGCTGCCAGGGCTTTGGGCATACCAAGAATTTCTGGCGTCGCACTATGGGGCCAACGACCACTTTTTGTGGCCATAAGTCATTTTTTAAAAGTCCTTAAAGAAAGGATCTAATGACGTCATTAACTTAAGATAACATTAAGCTTTAATGATACATAACAGAAAAGTTAACAGAGATCGACACTGTTATGTTATTAGCTGTCAAAGTTCATTGTTAGTGCCGATAAAAAACACGTGGCAAAATATTTGCGTTTTTTAAAAGAGTTTTTAGTGGACTAAAAGGATTTAAATTTTAAAACATTTATGTTTGATATGCAGTCGAACCAAAGGGGTTTGTACTAAGTGTTTGTGGGTGTCAATTGTAGGAATTGACGTGTTGTTTTTGTAATGTGTGTATTTGTGTACCCCCTGAAAAAGTAAAAGCTAAATTGAAGTACATTTTTCAAATGGAGTAAACAAAAAAAGGTAACCTAGTTTCACCTTAATATTTGTACTGTGTTGTAGTGTCTTTCGTCCTCTTTCAAATGAATGTAGTCTTAAGCTGCATATGTTTGAACTTTTTATGGTATTTTGATTTTTAGGTCAGTGCCTGAGCAACGATAAATTGTTCGATAAATGGAAATCAGCTGCTACGAAAAGCTGAAAGAAGTCTGCTATTTTGGATTGCTTTAGGAAAAGTGTAAATGGGCCTATATCTGAAGACCAAGATACAAAATTAGTAGTCCAAAGCGAACAATTTTGCTACCGTTTATCGCGAAAGTGGAATAGTTGCAAAAGAAATGTAGCATTGTTTAGAAGAAGGCATGCTGTTTGGCTATCTTCGCAAACTGTTGTGCATATGGAAACAAAGAACCGAAGATCCGTGGGTCGACCTTCATTATCATACGCGGTAAAGAGTTACAGAACGATAAGAAGGGCAGCATCAGGTCTTGCTTCTCGCATGGCAGGAAATGTAGGTCTTCTTATTCAATCAGCGAGTGCAGCAGCGCAAAAAGGGGGCAAAGTTGATCTCGCCTTTGTTTTACAGCTATTAGCTAAATGTCCTAAAAAGGCAACAAATACTCATTGTTCATAAAATGTTCAACAACTGTTCATAAGATCCTTGTTCATTCGAGTGACATAATAGAAAACACAGTAATTCCAGTGGGATGCTTCGGAGAAGAAGGAGCAGAATCAAGGAACAAATTTTACAAGTCTGATCGGCTTCACCATGCAAAAAAAACCAACAGAATAGAAAATTTTACGGATGTTTTTCAAAGAGCATTGGACACATCCGATCCACTCATTTCTACCGTTAATTTATCAAAGCGTATACGGACTCAGAAGCAATTAAGCCTACTTTTAATAGTTACTGAATTGCTTGATGGCGTAAGTTGTACTTCAGATACGCATTTAGAGGACCTTTCAGATGATCAATTTGAATTTTCTTTTGACATGGAACTGCAAGCCGAAGAACAAATACAATAAAAATAGAAATGAGGTACCTAAACTTAATATTTGAATTATTCTACATGAATTTTAAAATCAACTATTTACAGCTCGTCAAGCCTGACATTCATGTAAATCAGGGGTGGGCAAGCCCATGGCTCCTCGGGCTCTCAAGGCTCCCTCCGTTATTCGTAATTTTTGGCGTCAGCAAATCGGTCCAGATGGTCGGGTCGCGCGGCCAGTGAGTCGTGGAGATTTACAAAAACAATGCTACACAAATTTCGAAGCAGGTGCGGGCCCGACTCCTCGGTCCCGAGTTTGCAACAACAAAAAATAAGGGTGGGTTTGCGCACAAGCAACTTAAAACAAAAACAATTTTAAAGCGAGCTGCGCAGTTGTCGTCGACTTCTGCACAGCCAAAAAAGTTTGAAAGTCATTCTGTGCAGTGAATTCAAGACAAGTAAACGTAAAAATGGACCAAGAAATTGAAATTTTAGACTTTGAAAGGAAATATTATTTTACAAAAAACCATAAAATTAATATGATGCAGTGTTTAATTTGTGGGACTATTGTTGGACTAAAAAAGGGATACAATATTCGTCGACATTACAAGTCTCAACATGAATCTTCGTACGGCATGATAAAGGACACTGAACGGGTGCAGCTTATTGCTAGATTGAAGGATTCACTTTCCACGCAGTTAACAAAAGCAGAACCAGACGTAGACAACAATAAAAACATTCTTTTAGCTTCATTTGTTGTAAGCTACAAGTTGGCCAAATCTCAAAAAAGTTTCCTGGATGGCGAATTTTTCAAATCAACTTGCATATCTATGCTGCAGTGTCTTGACGAAAAGGGCGTTGAAATGAGCGAAGTTGTCCAAAAAATACCACTTTCTCGGCGTACTGTTACACGACGAGTAACGAAATAAGCAAGCAATTAAAAGAAAATCTGAAACAAAAACTAAGTAAATCTGGTTACTAAGAAAGCACGGACATTAACGACGTTGCGCAAGTTTTAATATTTGTCAAGTTTTTATTGTTGGCAACAACAGGCGAAGACATATGTATACACCGCCATTGAAATATCCGTCAACGAAATCGGAGGATTTAAGAAACTATGCGGCATGTACACCGACGGAGCAAGGAGTATGCGAAGAGAAGTTAAAGGGCTTAAAGGTCAGTTTAAGTCACGAGGCATTGATGTCCCTTTTTATCATTGCCTCATTCACCAAGAGGCCCTTTGCGCAAAATCTCTGGATATGAAGGATGCGATGGAGATTGTTACCAAAATAGTGAACAAAATAAGAGGAGGACACAATGCATTAACGCATAGAAAGTTCCAGTCCCTGCTTCAGGAGCTGAAAGCACAATACGGAGACCTGAAAATGTACACCGAGGTTCGCTGGCTCAGTAAAGGGAAATGCCTGGAGCGATTCTTTTCTCTGAGAAATTTTAATATTCCTTAAGGAACATTTAAAAAATTCGGAGAACTTAGTTAAAAAATTAGAAGACACTCAATTTCTTTCTGAGTTGGCATTTTTGACAGATATTACGAGCTATTTAAATATTTTTGACTCCCAACTTCAGACACCAAAGCAGTCAATAGTGACGATGCTATCTAGAATCGACGGATTCAAAAGAAAATTGAGTATTTTGGAAAATAATTTAAAAATAAATTGTTTAACTCATTTTCCCCGATGCCAAGAACTTCAAAAAGAATATTCAGAATTATGCTTCTTAGAATTTAGTAATATTATAAAACAATTAAGACAATTGTTCGAACAACGATATACAGATTTTGAAGACATTAAAAAATTAATAAACATTTTTGTAAGTCCAAAAACAGTAAAAATTGAAGAACAAGATCCACAATATCAAATGGAGCTGTGCGATTTGCAAACCGACTTACATCTCCAGTCGGTGGTGGACAGCGAAGCTGATTTTTGGAAAAAAGTGCCAATACATCAATACCCAATTTTAAAAAATTCGATGCTTAAATTGGAGGCTTGCTTTGCGAGTACATATTTCTGTGAAAAAGCTTTTTCTCACATAAAAGCTATAAAAACTGTATATAGGAGTAGACTAAGTGATATTAATTTAAATGATATGTTAAGAATAGCTTTAAGTAATGATACGATACGAAAAATTAACAAGTTAAAAATTAATAAAAAATTAAATGTACTGAAACTGTTTTTGTCAGTGTATTCTTTTTGCTCGCACATTCTGTCTGGCTCGTGGCAGCGACGCATCGGACGGAGGTGGTTGTTGTTGTAATTTGTTGTTTGGCCGAGCTGCGGCTCCGACCGTTAGATTTCGTGCCCACCACTGATGTAAATGGATATTTTAAGGAGCACTAGAGCCTTTTTATTATTCAATAAATAAATATAGACAAATAAACATATATTTTTATGATTTTTTTATTTTTTAATATTTTATGATGAAATATTATAATAGGTATATCTTTAAAAAAAAAAGGTGGTGCCACGCCCATTATCATAAAACATATTCATTTTTTTATTATAAACTCAAATCCGAAAACCAAACCGAAATATCTCGTTTCGTTTTCGAGATATTAATTTCGGCCACAAAAAGTGTTCGTTGGCCCCATAGTGCGTCGGGACTTTGTTTGCCTTAAAAGTGGACAGTGTTACATTCGATGTGGTCAGCATCTGAAGTCTCCATCTCAGTGAAGTTTTCCTGATTCACAGGGGCAAGGTTATTAATAGCTGTGCAGTCACTTGGAGCCGAGTTAGAGCCAGAAGAGAACCAGAAAAGCCTAGGTGATGTAGTAACACTTTTTTCAAAGGAGCTAGGAGAGCTGGCAATGGATACTGGTAGTGCATCCACGTTTCCATCAGAATTGACTCCATCTTCTTCCATGCTGAGATCCACATTGTTGCTAATGCTGGGTTTTGAAGTAATGGCTTCCATCTTTCCACGTGCAGTACACAATTACGTAAGGGATGGTGATATAATGGTGAAGTTTAATATAATGATGCAGTAAACTGGAGTGATGCAGTATGATGAAATGGTACTATAAGGAGTATTGGTGACGTTTGATGTATTGGTGCAGTGGTGAGTTTTCCAATACAAATGAAGATATGATTGTAATGGGATAGACAATGTAAGTGTAACAATACCAGCCAACCATATGCGGAGCGCTCCGAACTAGGAGTGTTAACGGACTCCCAAATTTATACCGCAAAGGTGTGTTTCCGGAGCGCTCCGAAAATGGAGCGAAAAAGGAGTCCCAATGTAGCACCTCTTCGGAGCGATTGCGGAGCTCTCCGAAGAAGGATCGAAACGAGACTCCCAAAGTAGCACCTTTTCGGAGTGTTTGCGGAGCCCTCCGAAGCAAAGAATAACAAGAAAGGAAAGCAAACTTCGGGCGGAGCCGAAGTTGATATACCCTTGCAGTTAAACCCGGATACATATCGCAAACATCGGATATAGTTGGCCGATCCTAATTTGGTAATTTGAAATTTGGTAGGTTAGATGAACTGACCAAAACTAGAATCTGTACCAAGTTCCAGTTTTCTATCTTCAAAAACAGGAAAGTTGGGTCATTTCCGATCGTTCAGTTATATGGCAGCTATAGGATATATTCGGCCGATCCTTATAAAATTTGGCATGTCGTAATGTTTTGCCAAAAATAGCTCTCATGCCAAATTTGAACTCTCTAACTCTAAAAACACCAAAGTTATACCATTTCCGATCAATCAGTTATATGGCAGCTATAGGATATAGTCGGCCGGTCGTTCCGACTTATATACTGCGTGCAATGGAAAGAAGGGTGTGTGCAAAGTTTCAAGACGATAGCTTTAAAACTGAGAGACTAGTTTGCGTAGAAACAGACAGACGGACATGCTTATATCAACTCAGGAGGTGATCCTGATGATGTCTCCTTCACTGCGTTGCACACTTTTGACCAAAATTATAATACCCTCTGCAAGGGTATAAAAATGCACTCTCGCCAACTGACAGAGCTGACAATGACAAAAAAGTTGATAACGCCAAAAAAAGAAACGCCCATTCTGCAAAGTCCGTTTAAAACAGTCGAGGCGTTTGAGAAGCTCGAGGAAGAATTAAAAAAAATAGCCTGAGCTCAGCGACAGACTTCAAAATGAAATTATCCGGCAAGAGGCAAGCGATCCGTCAAAATTTATTCGAATAATCTGGCGCAAAATTTTGAATGACGACGTCGCATTTTGAATGACGACTCCTGGAAAGGGACACCGAAAAAGAAAGCTATTGATGTGATGGCAATCACCAACGCATTTATGGGAGCCTTCAACATAAAATTTGTAGGAGAAAACAAAGAATTTGACCGAGCCAGCGCAAAATGGTTTCAGACGGCAAAAGAACGGAATTTAAATAAACTTAACAAAAAAATTTAACAAAATGTAGTTTAATTAAAAATATGTTTAAATGTTCATTACTAATTGAATTACTTATCATTACTATATAAGCTGGGAGCATTTTGAGAAACCGTAGGGACTCCTCTACGGAGTATTTTAGGTGCACAAAGAAGGACTCCTCTACGGAGCATTTTAGGTGCACAAACACAATCCCAAAGTGCTCCGCCTAGGTTATCTTCGGATGATTTTAGGACTCCTTTTCTTAATAATTGGAAGCAAAGAAAGGAGTCCGCACGGAGTCCCTGCGGTTTATCTAAGGGAGCATTCTGGGACTCCGAAATTACTCATTCTAGGAGTCCGCAGGGCACACTGTTTTCACATATTTTGAAATGGCACTTTTCTCCCAAAAACATGCTCTTACGGACACTTTTAGGAGCGTCCCTAGGAGGCTTTGCGCTCCGCACAGGGAGTCCTAACGGAGGACCGTGCGGACTCCGCTGGTTGGCTGGGATGCGTGAAGTAAACTGACAATATGTATTCTACTGCATACACACAATAGCAACTTAATAGTTTTCACGTAAAAAAGATTAGCCACAGTCGAAACTAATAATTTAAATTTTCCAATTCTTTTTCAATTTTTCAATGCATTTTTCTTTTCTTTTTTTCAATGCATGCCAACGGTTTTTTTTTAAACTGCTGATTAGTGTGTTAATACTCCGCTGCTATTGCTATTCCATTTGGTACTACTGTTATTCCTACTTTTCTACTACTATGCCTAAAAGCTAATACGCATGCTTGCATATCAGAATCAAATTGTAAACATCGGTGCAGTGCGCTGTTGCCAGATTGGCCAGCTAATAATTAATAAAATTAAAAGAAAAATTCCATGGCACTGATTGTCGGGGAAGGCAGAAAAGCCATACCTTTCTCCCCTGCAAAACTACTAGACTACTCCAAACTACTAGATGACTCCTAAATCTTGACTTTTCCGCCGCTCTACTGAGGAACTCTCTGGAGGAACCCCAGCTACTTCGCCATGGTGCACCGGCTCTTTACTACACTTCCCTTCCTCCCGACGCCGGACTTCTGATTTGGCCACCTGGTTCATAGGACGGCATCTGGACCCTACGTTCGAATAAAATACCATAGAAATTTTTAATACCTTATTTTATTCAGCTTCTACTTTATTTTCTTAAAGCCGTCAATAAATTTCATCAATATATGAATTTACTCCTGACTCATCCCTGACGAATCCATACTACAGACATCCACGAATTTCTTCCACCCTGGAGCACTGGCTTTTCAATACATTCCCCATCTTCTCGACGCTGGACCTCTGTTTTGGCCCTCAGGAACATAGGTCGGCGCCTAGATGCTACGTTCACGCAAAAATATTCGTGAACACATCCCCCGATAAATCCTAGCTGCAGTCATCTTTTTTGCCTAAGAGCACTGGCTTCCCGACGTTGGACCTCTGATTTGGCCACCAGGAATATAGGTCGACACCTGGACACTATATTCATATTAAATGTAGCTACCGCCACTACCTATTTATCAATATATGACTTTATTCCTGCGCTTATCCCTGACGGATCCATACTAAAGACATCTATAAATTTCTTCCGCTCTGGAGCACCGGCTTTTCAATACATTCCCCATCTTCTCGACGCTGGACCTCTGATTTGGCCACCAGGAACATAGGTCGGTGCCAAGACGCTACGTTCATACAAAAATGTACTCGCCGCTGCTACTTTATAATAATCTACAGCTGCTAATTAACTATGATTCCACAAAATTCTTGATTCCTTAAATATGTTGATTCAATGTTATTTATATAACTTTTTCATTTATGTTAACGCTTAATGTTAATGTTAATTTTATAATTTTGAAAACACTAAGCGTAAACACGTATCTTTTTCACCCCTGCTTGCGTTTGAAAATTCCCCTGCGACCTCTGCGATTAGGCCATTGCCGATCTATTTGCAGAATTTTTTCAAACAGCTTATTCTTCGCCTAAATTGACAGATCAGACTAACGCATACAATATTCAATCAGTAAATCTTATTTTCTGTCGGTTTTTCTCTGAGGATAGCGTGTTATGTGATCTTCTAAGGGTCAAACCCATTTATTCGCGAGGCTGCTAGAGCTCAGCGCCAACCTGACAGTATGTGCTGTGATGAATTCTTGCCCGATTAGTGGAATTCTACGCCCTTCCAAGAGATCCGAGTTGACATAAAAAAAAAATGGCTGATTGTGAGGATACATTCCAGAGCCTGGAGAAACATGGTGAGTTTGAATTCATGGAAGCGATATCTATCAGTAGTATTTCTTGTTCCAACTCTTTTGATTAAGAGAACATTAACATGTAACCCAGGTTGTAAATAATTTCCTCGCCAAGCTAAAGGGCTTCAAAGAGGCATGTGTGAGCCTCAAAAAATCTAACTACGGTGGCATCCCTACTGGTAATACCAATAGCTCTGATTCGGTCCTCGTCCTACCGTTAACCACAATTCCCGCGGTGTGACTACTCGAGGCCCAAGATGGCCTACAATGGTCTTTGTTTTGAGGAATCTGCTACTCATCAGATGTCTGCTCTACAACACCGCAGCGTAATGTTTTTAATGATGCAATTTTTCCTGTCTCCACTCAGCGCTCATGGCAACCTGCAAGGCCAAGTGCGGAACACAAACAACAAAAAAACAATGCTATGAGGATGAGGAAAAAATATTGGCACCTTTTACAACAATCAAGCGAGAGACGCGACAAAAAACCAGCGTCGCCTAAATTATAAGGAAGGATCAGCTTCCTACCAACTTCATGCCAAACGATTGCTGCTATCAAATCATCGGCAGGAAGTTAAGTACAATCCTTTAAAAAACAATCAGGCACATTTGAGCCGCAGAAGCGCCATGCATGATAAGAGGATCAATCCAGCTGAGAACCAATTGAACGAATTCCAGGTCAGACCCAAAATGGAACAACAAGGCTTGAAGGAAGCGACTCAGTCGCTAAAATCTTGGATGAGGTCTGCCTCATTTGGGTCGCCACCACTATGGCCGCCGTCTGCAGGACGATCAATAACAGCAACATAAGCTTCAAGAACAGGCCATGGCTGACGTGATCCAGTCGCATAAGAAGACGCATGCCAAGTTAGACCACATTGGAGGCCTTTTTAACAAACTCCTTTCCCTCAGCAAAGTGATGTTTGAGATCATGCTTTAGGTCACGGACATTAACTTTTATCAATAACAATTAATTATTACAATTAACAATAACTCTATTATGTCTGTGGATGTGCTATCTTTGGTGGATCAGGATTCTCTACTCGACGTTGTCACCGCCATTTATGTCTAGCTTCATTTCATGGCCCACTCGCCCCACTTCTCAGAGGCCAATGCCCTTTTGCAATCTTCGTATAGGGTGCTGGAATGCCTGTGGGGTAGGAAAGAAGTCTTTGTGGCCCCTCTTTGCTGAGTCCTAGCGCCATGATTGTCCTAGCTGAGGATGTTGAACTTGCGTACCATTTAATAAGGGCTCTACTATTGATTGCATTTATATGATATCCTTTTTCTTTATAGGATGATACAGCCCGAGATGACCCAGCCATTCCCCGCGCCATTGACTTTGTCCCATTAAACCAAGTTGTTGATGAGCTAGCCAACGATACTCAACCGAGAATGACCCAGCCCCGCGCGGCTATTGAATCTGCGCCCTGTTAAACCATCTACTGATGTCCAGCCAAGGATGATTTAGCCATGCAATAAACTTCGGTGGACCCTAATTTTAATTTAAAGTCTCTAAATTTTAAATTCTATGAATGTTGTATGTTCATTTCGGACTATTAATATTTCACGGCTATTAATATACACATTGCGTGCTATATTTGAAGAATGGAATATAAGCGATAAAATTGAGAATATAACGACAGATAATGATTCTACATTTTAGAATCTACAATGTTAAAAGCCTGGGAAAATTAAAAAATAAAAAATCTCCCATGTGTTTCA